TACAGATACTGATTTTTGGAGGCTCTTATGTACTGGAGTGAAGATCCTTATCTTAATTTCTCACTCCTTGACTAAATGATTCCTGGGACATGCCCTTTCCCTGCCATATTTGAACATCTGTCCAACTATAGCCTTTGTTGAAGCTAATTGAGCTTCTGGGCCCATGGTAAATACAGTGGAAAGTCATGTTTGTAGTACAGTCTTATAAAATTAAAATTTACTCTACATCAACATTTTTGCAATTTTAAAACATATTATTTCTGTATTTTTCTTTAGTACTTGATCATATTCGCATATGTGTATGTATTTTGCCTACATATATGTTTGTGAACCATGTGCATTCCTGGTCATACCTGGTGCCCAAGGAAGATAGGAGAGGTAATCAAATCCTTTGGACCTGAGGTTAGCAATTTAAAAAACAATTGTGAGCTGCCATATGAGTGTTGGGGATTGAATTTGGGTCCTTTGGAAAAGCAGCCAGTGCTCTTAACTGCTTAGCCATCTCCCCAGGACCTTAAATATATTTTCTTTCTTTGGTATTTCAAGATAGGATTTCTCTGTGTAGCCCTGGCTCTCCTGAAGCTCACTTTGTAGATCAGTCTGGCTTTGAACTCTGCCTCTGCCTCCTGAGTGCTGGGATCAAAGGCATGTGCCACCACTACCTAGCTTTAAATAGTGTATTCTATGTATTTGAGGCTAATCATTCTTATCTAAATATCACAAAACCTGTTACTATTATATAGTTTTATATCCATTGCTTGAATATTTTACAAATTGCATATAGTCTTTTCCTATGTGTCTGCATGTGTAGAAAATTGAGAGAGTGAGCTGAGCATGATCATTTATTGCTCCCTGCCTCTCAACTGCAGATGCAGTGTGACTGGCTACCTCTTCAAGTTCCTGCTGCTGTGAATTTCCTGTCGTGAGAGGTTGTAACCTCTAACTGTGAGCCAAAGTAAACACTTTCTCCCTTAAGTTGCTTTTGCCCGTATTTTATTACTACGTTAGGAAGCACCATGATGAACATTATAGCCCGTCTCTACCTCTGTTTCATACACTTCTTTTCAGTTACCCTCACACCTGACAAGGCTTTCAACAGAATTCAGTAGCCCCAAAACTCCAAAATATGTTGACCTGGATCAGAGGACACACGTCATTGTGTGTGCAGATTGCTCATAAGACATACCATAATTGTAGCAACCACTCTTCCCTACCTTGTGCCAATGGCCATATGGAGAGGGCCCTTTACAAACTTTAGAATGAAGGAAAAGATTGCATCTATTCTTGTTTAATCTGTGAGTACAAGCTGCTGCTGCTGGAAATAAGTGCTCATTTTGTTCTGTTGTTGTTTTCCTATTTGGAGTGCTTAATGTAGATGTTTGTTCATGTCTGCCAGAAATAGTGTCACAAAACAGATAACTTCAGCCAGGTGGTGGTGGTGCATGCCTTTAATCTCAGCACTCGGGAGGCAGAGACAGGTGGATCTCTGTGAGTTGGAGGTCAGCCTGGTCTACAAGAGCTAGTTCCAGGACAGGTTCCAAAGTTACAGAGAAACCTTGTCTCAATAAAAAAAACCCAAACAACAACAACAACAACAAAAACAACTCAGACAACTTCAAATCTCTAGTACCCATGTGAAAGACAGAAATGGCTGCATGTCCCTTTATCCTTAGTGTTGAGGGATGGAGACAGCCAGGTCCCAGGAGTTCCTTGGCCAGCCAGTGTAGCCAACAGTGAGCATCAGTTTCAATGGGAGACTCTGACTCAGAAAATAAGGTGGACAGCCATAGAAGAAAACACCCAACCTCCTGTAGTCTCCACACACACCTGTCTATGCATGGATGGATATCACACATGCACACAGCATAGACATGTGCAAAGACCTTATTTTTTTTAAATTATATATATAAAAGAAATTGGCAAACTTGCTTTGGTATACCTTACATCTTCTCTCACTTTTGAAATTCTACTCAGGAAAGAGCTTGGAGGAGACCCAAATTGGATAAACATCACCATGGAAGCGTTAAGGGGTCTTTGGGAGACCTTGACAGGGCTAGGAAAAAGCTGAACCAAGATGGGAGGCTTTTGAGAGAGGCTTTGTTTAAAAACAAACTGGGGAAGCTATGGAAAAGATTCCTTCATCCCGGGAGTTAAGCAAGTTGGGGAATGGAGGATATCACACCTCTTTCCTCACCCCATCCCTAAAGTCAGTTTTATAGTCAGGCATACAGCACATAACAGTGTAGTTGGTCATGTTAGGCCCATTGCAGGGCTATAAACTCCTTCTGTGTCTGAGGCCACCTTCAGAAAAAGGTTGGCAAGAATTTAGCAGAAAAATGCAATAGTGTGTGGCAAGCTCTGTCTATATCAGACAAACTGACCCTAAGTTACTTATGACCCATCTGACATGAAAAGGGCATAGCAACAGGAAAGCTGCTGGGAATCAAAAGGGGGATTTCTGCCTGTTTAATAGTCATGACAGAATCTGTGAGACTCAACTCCAGCTGTCCATACGACAAAGACTTGCCCAGCAAGGGCTTTACCAGCCCCAATGTGTGGTGAAAGGCAAGGAACATGGGCTCTGTAATGGCTGCTGTACAGCTAAGGAAGCTTTGGGTTGAGTCTCAGTGGGCAAGTAACTGGTTTCAGTTAAGGGGATCAGAGAGAACTATAATTACAAAGCATGTTGCAAATGGTGACTGCAGAGTTAGAACTCTGGGGCTGAGGAGATGGTTCAGCCAGTGGAACGCTTGCTGTGCAAACATGAGGGCCTGGGTTTGGATCCACAGTGAAGCACATAGAAGCTGAGCATAGCAGCAGATGCCTGTAATCCAATTTGGGAGTTTGATTAAGAATGGCCCCCATCCTCACCCTCTCTGAGGAGTGGATGGGGGTGAGGTGGGGGGAGCAGAAGGAGAGGAGGGAGTGGGAGCTGGGATTGGTATGTAAAATAAAAAGTTTGTTTTAAAAAATTAAAAACGAATTGAAGTCTTTTTATTTAAAAAATGGCCCCCATAGACTCATATGTTTGCATGTTTAGTCATTAGGAAGTGGCACTAGTTGACAGGGATTAAAAGATGTGGCTTCGTTGGAGGAAGTGTATTTCTTGGGTGCCAGGCCCCATGGCTTTCTCTCTTCCTGCTGCCTGCAGATCCAGATGTAGAAATCTCAGCTACTTCTCTAGCACCCTGCTGCATGCCACCATGCTCCCTGCCGTGATGATAATGAACTGAACTTCTGAAACTGTAATGAAGCCCAATTAAATGCTTTCTTTTATAAGAGTTGGTCATGGTGTCTTTTTCTTCACAGCAATCAAACACTGACTAAAACATACAAGTACTGGGGTAGCAGAAACAGGTAGATTCCTGAAGCCCACTGGACAGACAAGCTGAATGAATGAGCACCATCTTTAGTGAAAAAAATGTCACAAAAAGCAAGGTGGAGGAACAATTAAGGAAGACACGTAGTGTCAACCTCTGACCTCTAGACACTTATGCACACACACACACACGCACATTCACATGCACAAGCGCGCACACACATACACACACAGAGACCATATGAAAAAAAAAAAGATTCCTGAAGAAGAAACTTTTACATCCAGCTAGTTCCACCTCAGAGCTGTGGGCAGACCAGCACAGCAATCTCTAAACAGCCCTTCTAATCTGATTTATTTATTGGCTTAGGGTTCATGTTTTAAGGTCTCATGTTTTCATCAAAAGGTGTTTGGAGATGTCCTGATGAGTGTAGGTTATAAAGAATGACTCTCTCCATCACTAGGATGTTTCAGCGTGACTTTACAATGTTTTCAATCTAGATTAACCCTAAACCATTGGCTCCTCTGCTTTCTTTTTAACATTTTTTATTGATTCTTTAGACATCATGTACCCCAATACCACTCGTTTCCCAGTCATTCAATGTCTACCTTCTACCCATGTAGCCTCCCCTCCCAAAAGAAAAGAAAAACCAAACCAAACCACTCTTTGCTCCTCTGTCATGCCCACTTCTCCATCACATATTAGTCGCCGTAGTGGTATTGGGAGCTGCGGTGTGTCACACAGTATATACCTTTTTGCCCAAACAGCTTTACTTGCAAATGCACATGTGTAATGTGTTGTCAGTCCGGTTTAAGGACTCTGGCTTCTGCTATACCATCAATGCTGGACCCTCACCAAAACTGCTTTTTTGGATATCCTACTGTTGTCCCAGTCATGGAGATTCTGTGGCTATGGTTCTGCAGGACCAGTCACTTCGTGCACTCCAGATGGTCATTGATGGGGTAGGTATTGGGGTGGGCTAACAAAAAGCTGTGGATGTAGGCCTGGGTGGTAGCTGAGTTGGGTAGTCTGGGCCTCCACCTGTACCCCTCTTCCTGCAGGTGAAAGGCAGTGCCAGCTTCCCGGAACCCACTGATGCCAGCACTCCTGCAACTATGCCACTATTTGTGCTAACTCACTACAGCTGGTAAAGGACAAGTTTGTCTTCTCCGAATGAGGAGGCCAGCAGAGGGCAGAGCCAGCTCTCCTGAGTTCATGCCACCCCGGCCAACTCTCTTGTGAAGGGCAGGGCCAGCTCTTTCAGGGCTGGCAAGGGGAAGGGCCTGCTCTCCTGTGCCCAGCAACTAGACCCCCCTACTTTCTTGCTCCATGCTCTGCACATCTACTTTGGGGGAGATGAAAACAAAAACTCTTTTGTATTTTATAAACAACACTTGTTTTGCTTTCTCCCCTACATACGTAGGTGGAAGTAAATGTTCACTTCATATTTTGGTATCATAATGATTTGCTCTGTCTTAAAGCTTTGGTTTCCAATGACTATGAATGCTTTGTGAAAAACTGTGAATTATTCAATGACAATGTTGCTAACTCCCTTCTTCTTTAAAGCCATGAAGAATAATGGAAGCGAGATGCCTTCAGACTATGATGGATGTCCCATGTAGCACTGCGAATCTAATACAGAGGAAACATTGACCCACCAGAGTATTTGCTTTTATAGATCTTTATTTTGCTTTTTGCTATTTACATGTTTGTATTTCTGTATATTTTTCAGAAGCATAGTTTTATGCTTCTTCATGTTTCACTTTCTTGAAGTTAGTACTGGTCAAGGTCTTTTTCTCACAAGAATGTCAATGAATGAACTCACCATGGGCACCCAGTTATCTAGTGAAGCTCTGCTATTCTGTGACCCTTGCAGGTTAGACCACTCAGGTCACCAACCTATTGGTCATTCTCTCTTCTGGCTTTTCATTGTCTTGCTCCAATACCACTGCTGAAGATCTGTATGTATGTGACTTTACCATAATTTATATGCTTCCAGAATGTAACTGACTTAGTTGCCATGGGAAAAATTTTCTGGTATTATCTAAAGACATCTACTACAGTACTGTGCAAATTTGGTGCCTTTACCTTTGCTGATAAATTCTGATCCCAGGGATACTGTCTGGCATGATTGTGGGTGCGAATTCTGACACAGTTCTGACCAGTTGGCATATTTTATAATGTAAGTATATCAGAGAGATACTTTAACATCCTTCTTCTCTCTCTTGAAGGCCCAAGAGTGATATAGATTTCATATTAATCACACCATATTGTACAACAAACACGAACACACTGCACTTTTGATAGGACAAGTTACAATTACTTTGGATGCTGGGTTGTGGAGTAGCTAGAAAGTTCTGCTTACTACCACAGGGTATCATGCAGATGGAGTGCTTAGTGAATGCATTCAGTAGTTAATAGCTTGAAGGTGTAGCTACTGTATATACAGAGTAAGGAACCCTCATTAGGAATGGTCACAATCTCAGCAAAACTTGCTTCTGAGTATGCCAAGAGTTTGCAGCCTTGCTATTAATGAGGATGATACAAATTCTAAGAATACATTGCATGAACTTCACTAAGACCCAACAGATTGTTGTTCTCTCTGCAGATACCCTACAGTGCAAATCAAACTGGACAGGAAACACATCACACATTTCTTTGACAAAATGACTCTTTGGAAAGACAGACAGCTGGTGTCCTGCTCAATTAGGGATTCTAGGGAAAAGGTAGGGGGAGGGCAAGACAGGAGAGTAGTAAAGTGGGTTGTTCTATCCCAGATTCAGTAAGGCTCCTCTTTCTGTCCATGCCCTTGGACTGGCTGAACCCCAGGAGAACTATTCAGATGCTCTGTACTTCCACAACCACTTGGAGTTGGGGGACACTGGGAAGGATATATAGGCAGCCAGATGGAGAGGTATGCCTGCATGGCTGAAAGGGAACTGGGGGCAGCTGGAATCAGGCTTGACAATAGACGACACACCACACACAGAACAGAAGGGGAGATCTGGCAACTTTCAAGTAAGACAGACCACAGACGTGGGAAAACCAGAAGATTCAAGTTCCTAAAAAGTTGTCATTGCCAAATCTCCACAACACTTGGACACTTAAACTCACAGAATATTAATTGCAGTAGAGTTTAACTGCTTTCATTGCAGCACATTAGGGCAAAATAGTCTTTTTAGGGTATAAAATAGCTAGCTATATGAATATTTACAAGTGGCCTCTCTGCTCTTCCTCTGCTGCCCCTTTGTTCCTGCTACTCCAATTCCTCTTTGTAACTTTGCTCCAATGATGTGTCCAACACTTCAAGATTATAGGGCTCCAAATTCAAGAACACAGCCAATGAATGCTCAGATTCTGGATGAGAGCGCTCTGCTCTCTCTTTAATCTGGTCCTCTTTGTGCTGAGTTCCCAAAATAAAAAAGGGAATCATTTTGGTAGTAACTTCCTTGTTTTGAGTTGTCTTAAAGTATGTGTGAGTGTGTGCATGTCTATTTGTGGGTGTGTGTGTCTGGCTATGCCTGCAAATTTAACTAGAAGCGTGGGTGCTTCTGATGTATGCATGTGTGATGATGTGTGTGGCTGGGCGTGTACGCATGAGTCTGGAACTGCATCTATGTGTGCAGAAGAGAAAGGAAAATCCTTTTCTCCAATTTTCTGAACCCCTACCCCATTGTCTACACCTTATTTCTATTCCCAGTTCATCTTTTGACACCTTGCAGCACCAAGCTAAATGCGCAGCGCTCTCAGTTTATTCCACGGACCAATTATTCTCTAGCTCCAAGGCACTAATATTACCTCTTAGGACTATGTTCACTTGCTCTGGGTCTTCAGCACAGGACACAGCAGAGATGGGTGGAGGATGAGTGAGGAGTTGATGGAAACCAATAGACCCTAGAACTGGAAGGAAACTGTTAGTTCAGCTAAACAAGACTCTCCCTACTGGGTCAAAACAGGTCACTAGAGTCCTGATGTTTCTACAAGAACTTCCAACAAGGAATATATGTGATTTTTGATATATGTTCTTTTACACCAACTAAACACAGGTATACAGACATACACTTTCTAGAAATGTACATATCATGCATTCACCTGTGCTAATGTAAGTACATATGTACAAACTGACACTCTCATAGAGATACATACACATAAATTATTCACCCACACAGTGCAGATATACATTCATACATACTAACATATATTTACACTACTGTAGTGCTATTCATCTTCTCAAATGGCTATATGGCACTAGACCTACTTGGATGCATGCACACTCATCTCCAGGGATACACAGAAATGTATAAAAACAGAAGTACAGTTAAGGAGGTGGGTGGGCAGTGGGGTATAGGGTGGAAGGAGAGGCTGCCTATAGAGGAAGGGGGGAACAGATTGAGTGCTTGGCAAAGCCCCCTCATGACCTCCATCAATGAGCTGGTACTTCTTGGCAGATCGGTGTGCAGGTTCATCCTACTCTCATCAGGAGCCCTGTTGAGTAGGCGGGGCCGTTCAGTCCATGTTCAGTGGCTGCTCAGTAGCCTCTTCCTACAAAGACACTCTAGGTGCTGTTCAGTGAGCTTGGCAGCCTGGCAGGCAGTTCTGTAGGGTATCCCTTTGAGCAAAGGGAAGGGGCAGTAGGGGAGTGCATCAGCTGTGAGTTAGGCAGAGAAGGAGAAAGAACAAGCATCCATAAGCATGGCACAAAAGCTCTACTTTGTCCTTGGAACACTGGGGACAAGGTGCTTTGTCTTCCCTGGCTTACAGGGCTCCTGTGAGGATCCAACGATGTGATGGCTCAGGGAGCTCGTTGACACTTATTATGCACTAGACAAACAAAAAGGATTAGTATATAGATTCATAATAGTTGTCCATATGCTATCCTAGGCCAGTGGTGAAATATCAAGTCTGAACTTTCTCAACTAGTGCTTACTCACCAAGTGCTTTGACTGTAACTAGTAATCAACTCAGCATCAATAGAAAGCTAACTCCTACCTGAACAGAAGTACCGAGTCCCTACTGTCAGGCAATGCAAAGTAGAAATATAGGCATGAGAAGGTCTAATAACTTTAAAGGGAGCATCTGAACACATACAAACTCCAGTCTGGCACCGCCCCCTTGTCCTACCTACTCTGGCTAGAAGCATGCATTCTCCCTTCCCCTGCTATGTCTCTTTGCAGTTCCTCCCACCTGCCCTTCCCACTCCTGTACCACAATTCCACACTCAAAGTACAAGGCACTTACAAATGTTTTCCAACTTTCCTTTTGTCAGCATATCCAAGCTATGCCTAGCCCCTCCTCTGCGTACCCCAGGCCAACTTGGCTTGACATCTCCCAAAGCCCCTTTTAGCAGGCAGACAAGGTGCCTGATGCCCATAGGAAGAAAAAAAGCGATGCCAAAGCAATGTCAACACCTTGAGGGGACTGAAAAGAAAGCTCCCAGGAATGTTTGTGAACTAGGCTCAGATTCTCCTCATTCCTCAGCCTGGCTCTTCTCTGTCCTCTAAACATTTTCAAAGGCATTTCTAGGCTGATGGACTGTTCAAAGTGTTTGAAAGGTAGTAGTCTTCTGGCAGGAGGAAATCAATGTGCAATTTATCTTCAAGTCTTCCTCAATCCCTTACCCTCTGGCTACATGTTCTCTCCATTTTCTCTCCACCTCATAATAAAGAAAAGGGCCCAACAGGTTTGATTGCCCTAACAACTGCCAGGTAAAATGAACAATGGGAAGCGGGAAAAACAAAACTGAAGGAACTATGAAGGAAACACATGATAGTATCTTTGCTGCTGTGGGGGTATAGGAAACTAATAGATGTGGTACAACCAGTAAACCACATTGAACAACCCAAAGGAAAGAGGGAAGAGGAAACGGGACCACCTATCAACCTTCGGGACCCGGTCAGGCTTAAAGATCTGGAAAGAGAACCCTTCACTGAAGGAGCACCCAGGGCTTGGGGGACAATTCTCCTCAGACTCTGAGCTATGATCCTTCTCTCGGTCACAGGCCATGAGCTCCTCATCAGTAAGGCTCCAGGTACTGTCAGCTTCCACCTTGCGTGGTTCATCAAGGCCAAGCCAGCTGCTCTTGATACTGATGTCATCCTGTAAGCTCTCAATCTTATCAAGGTCCCAACTTGCTTCTTGCACACACCTCTGGCCACTGGGGAACATGAACCTTCCACTGGGGCTGCTGTCATGGCCATGGCTTTCATCAGAGCTTAGGCTCTCTTCAGAGTCTTCATCATCACAGGCCTCAGAATGGTTGCAGATTTCGATGGGGACAATGCTGTCATTAGTGAGGAAGCCATGCAAGTGGATGGTACAGTCATTCAGTGTTTGCTGAGAGGTGGAGGGCAGATCACTCAGGCTTTCTCCAGTGGCCAGTTGCGCCTGGATTGAGGTACAAGACAGTGGGCTGAGGCTTTCCGAGGTAGCCAGTTGGGCCTGCTCTGAGGTAAACACCAAGGATCCAAGACTTTCCTGACTTGCCAGATGAGCCTGCATGGGGCTGTCAGGAAGGGGAGCAGCTCTGTCCTCCACTCTGTCTTCCACATTAATCAGGCCATCCTTGGAGGAAATAATAGACAAGCTGATCAGTTTCATATCACCTAGTGGGCAAGAATGGGGGAAGAGAAAAAGGAGGGGACTTTCCTGTTTAGTGCTTGCAAGGCTACTGTTTGATGTCTTTGATAACCTGTTGGGCTCTCTGGCATGCTCAAAGGGGTTGAGAAACTGGACCAGGAAGTTGTTTTAGCATGCAGAGAATGCCATAGCTGCATCACAGCAACTGCCTTTCTGGGGTACAGTTCTGGCCTCAGGAGTCCCGTGTGCTATATGTGGGCTTTTTAGGTAGGGTGAGGCTGGGCTCTCTCCAAAGGAGCCGTGTTGCTGGGCGTCCATATATATCCCAAAGCAAAAGGCCCAGTTTGTTCTCAGGTATCTGAAGTGCTAAGAAGGAAATGTTTGAAGATTAGCTTCTCTGGTATCTGTCTTCCTCGGCCTCACCTTCCCTTTTTGCTTTATCACTTGTGCTAAAAGCCTATAAAATGGAGCAAATTTAGCTCAAAGATCTAGAGAAATCAAGTTCTGACATTTTTTGCCTTATTATATCAAATAATGATCAGCTATAGATGAGTGTGGGCATGCCTTTCATATACAAGTAACGTATGAAGATTAAAGCAACTGTGAAACTTGCAAGGGTCAAGTGCTGAGCCTAGGCTGAGGAGGTGACGAGGGAAAGCTGGCTGTCAGTCAAAATGTCAAACCTGCACGTTTTCCACCACCACTTCTTGGTAGCGGTATCGGGCAACAACCCTCCTGGGTTTCTTGTATCTCCTGCGATTGCGTCGAGGTCCTCGGCTGAAGAAAAGGTAGTTGATGTAGACATACTCCAGCAGGGACAGGAACACGAAGAACAGGCACACAAGGATGTAGATGTCAATGGCTTTGATACAGGAAATATGGGGGAGTTTATCCCGCATATGTGAGTCGATGGTAGTCAGGACAAGAATAGAAGATAAGCCTATGAAGAAGACAGTACAGGTTTGGTCTCCCTTCATAGCTGCGGTTTTTAGCAAGTCTACACCTCAGGCTGATTTCTCTGCATCAAGTTCAAATTCCTAGCCATGGTTAAAGTACTTTACATCTCTAGTTCCATATAGGCCTTCTTTTAGTATCTGAAGAGGTTTCTAAACCCTAAAGTATCGCACATATTTGTACTCCTAAAGGAAAAGATAGAGCAATTTGCCCTACAGAAGGCAAAAACAAACCAAAAAGCCCAGTATTCTAGGCTGTTCCTTGCTTAAAACATTTCTTGCCTCCCTAAACTTAGACCTGAAATTCGAGGTCTTCCCAGTTCTGCCTTTACTTTTTTTTCTAAGCAAAACGGCTCAAGTTTCTTCCCAAGATGGTGATACAAAGGACTTACCAATTGTCACCCTGGCTGCAGAGGAATCATAGTTCATCCAAAATGATATCCAGGAGAGAATGGTGGTGAGGACCGTGGGCCAATAGACCTGCACAAGGTAACTGCGGACTTCCCTCTGAACTTCGAACTTCACTATCAGGCGCATGTAGGAGCCTGTAAGAACACAGTGCTGTAAGCTCCATGTGGTACAGCAAACCAGCTCTAACCCCCTCCTGCCTTACTCATTCCACATGGGATGTTTTCAGGCAGCAGACAGATGGAGGGTGAGAGGCCAGCCCTGTGAAGAGCAGGAATCGTTTCCAGCTGTAGAGTGTTGTGAACCCGCCCAAACCTTCCACATCTATTCTCCATCTGTAGGGGTAAGCCATTAGCCACTAAGGCTTTATCAGTGGAGAAGAAAGATGTGTTCAGATCCACAGGAATGGTAACGGAAGGAGCCAACTGCAAGGATCAAAGGCAGATGCCCAGAAGAGTTTGTCGTGGTGTAAAGGGGACAAAAAACAGGAGAGAAAGAGGGGTTCTGGCCCACCTGTGTAGAAATACACCTCCTTGCTAGTAATTGTCCTCCCCAGGTAGGTGAACTGAGGGATGTGCAGCTCATCAGTAATGTGGATGGCATTCTCATCTTCCCAGGATAATACAATGTCTTCCATAGTATAGCCATCTGGGAGGGGAAACAAAGAGTTAATCTCGGCAGATTTAACTCGACAGCAGTCTGGGAAAACCAAAGCATAGTTGGCATTTGGATTTTGGAGGGCTCTTTTGTGGTTTTCTGAGGGTGAGCATGGGGGATTCTGAACACTTGCAAAGAGAGTTTTTAGGCAGGAAGGAATGTGTAGCCAAAAAGATGCTACGAATTTTTACCCACAAGTATGTATAGTTTTTCAGTTGAATTGGCTAGACCATAAAGACCACATACTCTCAGATGCCAGATATATACAACTGTCAGTTTCTTACGTAGCCATCGTTCATCTGCCATTTATCTACTGCTTGTGGACACGCTTGGGGAGAGCTATGGGAGTGGAGAGCAGAGGGGCTGTGCTGGTCCTCTCAGTGGCAACTCTGCCTGTGCTTTCCTGACTCCAGCAGCCCCGCACAGTGACCAAGGGGCCACAGGAGAAGTACGTACAGCTCTCCACCTCCAGTTTGCAGGCTTGCTTGTCCAAAGGGAATTTTCGCAGATCCAGGGAACAGGCTGCTGTTGTGGTGAGTCTGCCAAAGGAAACAAAAAGGAAGGGAAAAACAATTCAAGTTCACTGCTAAGGGTTCTACAGGGTGGGAAGGCAAGAGGAAGGTGGAGGATTGACCCATGTGTATGAAATTGGGGGAAGGGAGAGAAAGAGATAAAATTGGAATTTGACAAAGAATCACAAGATTCGGCAGAGCCGAAATAAAGAGCAGATATATGTCAGGTCAGAAAAACCATAGAACATCAGAGCAGGAAGGGCCCTTGAGAAAACAATACAAAGACAGAAAGACTTGTGCTTGTCAAAGTATCAGCAAGGCTGTTGAGAGGACACTGCACACTATGTGCAATGTCATGAGGCTACATAGCTACAGAGGCAGGTATGTGGTGTGCACCCAGGCCTGCCTTTGACCGTATCCACATCCATGTCAGTGGTGAGGGCCTTTGTCACACCAAGAGCTAGAAAGATACCAGAGGGCACAAAATGCCTATCAATGAAGTGCCCAGCCAGTGCTGACAGTAGATACAGCCAGAATAAGCATCAAGTTGCTATGCTATGCACCCAGGAGAAGAATCTGAGAATATGCCCTGGGAGGAGCCAGGGAGGTGCTTGTGTTTGAAAATGACATAATTAAAAAAGCTTTCTGCTGTCCCATATCATATCTGTCCCATCTACTTTTCTTCCCTTCCCATCTGCTAACTTAGTTTAGTCCCTGTCAATTCTTGTAGGAATTTCAATTTGGGACTGGGTATTGAGTGAGTAGTATGTATATATGTGTGTACTTCCCTCGTTTTAAAAAAATGAATTTCCCAAGTATTATTTATCAGCCAATGCCTTCTTTACTTTAAACAAGAGTGATTTCTGATCAATCAATTGCATTGGTATTTAATGGCTCCATAGAAATGTGGATGAGGAAGAAGGAAGGAATAAATGGGGAGGGAGCACTCTAGAGTAAGAGAAACCGAATGGTTAGACCTATAACAACCTGTCAAACAAACTATGGTATCCACTACCAGGAACCATTTTCTGGGCTAAGATGACCTCTCAGCTTGCCTTTACTGACAATCTGTTTGAGCTGAAACTGTGAAGTCAGCTTTGGTGACTGCGCTATTGCAAACAGAACAGTGAAGGCTAGCAGTGTGCATATGTTCTGTGTGTAAAGAGAGCAAGGGCTCAGAAGCCCCGCCCTATCCCGCTCACTGCTTTAGCTCCTCCCTTCTCCTGACACCCTGCCTGATGCAAACAAGAGGCAGGCAGAGAGGTGGAGCACTTTCTTCACTGCACAGGCTTCAGTGTTCATCAGTCTCCCTTCCTCACCGCATGGGGAATAAAGAAAACAGCACACACAATCAACGATGGAGGAAGAGGTCTTTTGGTCCAGGGTATCAGGATTTCTTTTTTTAAAAAATCTATATGATAATTACATAAAATTAATAAAAACACTATTTTCTTTCATAAATGGCAGGCGATGTTGTAAATTTCTTTCTTTATTGTCCACAAAATAAAGTAGCTTTGTTCCCAGTGTGCTTGGATTCCTTAATACAACCTCCCTTTATAGGGCACATTTGAAAGGGCAGAAGTTGGTTATATCATCTAAAATGGGACTTCATGCTTTTTACCAATTTAGCAAAAGGGAGACATTTGCATCAGGAATTGGAAAGCATGTGAAAGTGTGCAAAGTTTCGACTCGTGGAAAAACAGGAGGAGCAGAAGCCAAGGTGCAGGGACAGGGCAGCCTAGGATGCCCGTGGCAAACTTTGAAAGTATATGTGCACACAAGGCAGCTCTGGAAAGCAGGGATCTCTTCTAATGTACCTGTGGGATACACAGTAGGAAGAAGGAAGCTTGCTGGGACAGTCCAAGACTGTTATGTGAACTCACCGGATGCCATATCGCACTGTCCCATCTGGGTGGAGCTGAAACACACGATTCTCCACAGTCACATCATGTACAAAGGTATTTTTGCTATTCACAAAGTAGCAGTCAGGGACCCACAGCTTCTCGTGCATACGATAGTCCAGAGTCAGGTTCTGGTTGGTCTCATAGTATGCTAAGCGCTTGTCCTTCCAGGTCTGATGCAAAAACATAGTGATTGTGTAGTCCTGGGTAGAGATAAGTAAATGACAGTTGCCAGGTTGTCTAGTTCTCTGTCTACTGTATACACAGATTATATGTGCACACATACATATGTACTATTATATGGAACACATCATACAGACGGGTGCATAAAACATAAACATTTAATAAAGAACAGCAAAATGAAGCTTCTTTAACTAATTCCTAGGTTAATAAACAGAACATTACCAATAACTTTCAAGTTCCAATGTGTCCCTTTCAGAGAACATTTCCCACAACCAGCAGGAAACATTCATTATTCAAGATTTTATGACACTACTTACCATGCTTCAGATTAGTGTTTCATTGTCTCTATGTGTAGTTGTAGAAACAGTGCTTATTTGGACTTCTTTTTAGAATGTTATCTGACCAGAACCAAACTCTTATGTCTGGAACCTGTCCCCCAACCCCCTCAATATTGTATTTGTGAAGTCCATTCAAGTTGCTGTGTATAACTATAATTTGATCTCTTGTATTCCTGGAGAATATTTCCACATATAAACACACAATGTATTTATTTGTGTAAAAAAACAACATACATGCTCAAACCAGGAAGAAATAACAATGACAAAGTGAAAGTGGCCATTTGCATCCCTGCAAAAGTTGAGAATAAGCGAGGGTTAGCGGTGCAGGTCAGCTGACCAACATGGGCAGCATCTGACTCTGGTTTTAGGCAATCTGATATGTATATAGTGGGCTCTCACTGTGCGTTCATTCTGCTATTACTAACAAGGTCGAGTATTTTCTCATATGTCCATCCACCATTTAGTTTTCTTCACAAAAGTACAGCTCTCATTCATATTTGCTGATTATTTTTGATTGCTTTAAAATATTCTTATCAGTCTCCAGGCATTTGTATATTTTGAATCCCTGCTCTCTGTGTTGCACATATGTCTTCCTACTCTGAATTACCTTTTCACTCATCACAGTAGCTTTGTTTTGTAAAACTGAGGTTTCAGAAATTTTGGCTATACAGAATAGCCTCGATAGAACATCAAATACCAGTATTTGTTTTGATGGTTTGTAACTTGTGTGTCTTATGAAATAAATCTTTACCTACCCTGCAGTACAACTATAGTGTGCTATTAAAACTTTTAAAAGCGCCATAGATTCCCCCCCCCGCCCCCGGGCGGTGGTGGCGCACACCTTTAATCCCAGCACTCGGGAGGCGGAGACAGGTGGATCTCTGTGAGTTTGAGACCAGCCTGGTCTACAAGAGCTAGTTCCAGGACAGGCTCCAAAACCACAGAGAAACCCTGTCTTGAAAAAACCAAAAAAAAAAAAAAAAAAAAAAAAAGATTTTTTGAGTTAATAATCTACATGTAACTGAATTTTTAGATATGCTGTGATATGGGCCTTCAATTGACTTTTTTCTATTTCAGAGAGCTACCATGTGAGTTCTGTCAAGATCAGAACAATTAGAGTTGGCTTACGACTATACTTCTTGTCCCTTGTCTCCAGCACCATGATTAGAACCTATAGACTTACCATATTTATTTCTGAGATCTGTTCAATACTGGAGACATAGATAGATACGGACACGGGCACAGGGGCACCTACAATACAGGAAGACACAACCACGTGAACATTTGGATAAAGGTTAAGACCCAGTTGTCTAGGCTAAAACTAGCTTTGATGTTTGCTGGCTGGGTAAGTCACCTAACCACTCTGAACCTGAGCTTCCTCGTGGGTCAAATGGGGATAATGCTATCTATCGTAGCTAATGAAGGTCAAGTGCTTAGGGCAAGGCCTGGCTCGTGCTATGCTGAGAGGAAGGTATAAAAAGCAACACAAAAGGAAAATATGTACCAAGCACTCGGTTCTAACTGCTTTCTGATAAAGAACTGAAACTCAACAAGCCCAGGAAAAGGAACTAAGTTTCATGTTTCTGGGTGAGTGAAGGTGAGCATGCTTGCTAGTGAATTGGGAAATGTGTTCATATTCATGTGAATGTGTCCACACGTGTGTGAGCACGTCCATGTATGAGTGAGTGTGTGGCATGTTTGTGTGATCCAGTGTGTTATGTGGGAGACAACACAGGAGGGAGTTCAACTGCGAATGAAATATGGGGGTATTTATCCCGAGGCAGCAAACACGTGACTATGAGTGTCGTGTGAAGGAACATGTTTGTTTCAGTAGGTTATGTGGAAGTAGCCTTCAAGCATACACCAACATGCATGTGAGTGTATGGTGTGAGTACAGCTGCATGTGAATGAATGTGTGATCTTGTATGCTCATCTGTAGGTGTCTGTGAGCTTGCCTGTTAGTGTGAATGAATTTGTATTTGTGCGTGAATGTGTTTATACGGCAGTGACAACATGAGCATGTGAGTGAGTGTGAGTGTGTTTCTGTGGAAATGGGAGTGGATGTGATAGTACTAGAGTACACTCAACAGATGTGATCAGATGTTTCTGAGTAGATGAATGTACGCACATGTCTGTATGTCTGTGAGTGTGTGTGTGTGTGTGTTTGTGTGCATCTATTTGAGTATGTGGAGTGGATTGAAAATATGTTAGTATCTCTGTGAGTCTAGCATATGTTAGTGATATGTGAGCAGGTCAATGTGTGATGAGGATGTGTCATTCACTGTGTGAACTTGTGTATTGTGGGTTGTCTTCATGTTTGTGTGTATGAAAACATGTTAGTATTCTCACATGTTAGTAAATGCAAAAGTATGTGTGTATCTTAACATGGATGAGCACCCCCTTTCAGCTTGTCAGTGAATCTGAGTGTATGTGAGCATATTTGTGTGAGAGAATATGCGTTTTATTTGATGTGATTGTGGTCATATGTGATGCTGTAAGCATGAATGTGTAAGGTGTCCATGTGTATAAGTAAATTTGCTAGTGTGATTGAGTCTGTGGGCATATAAGAGTGCACCAATCTGTACCATGTGCATCTGTGTATGAACATGTCAATGTTTGTCCACGTGTGGGAGTGAATTACTGAGTGGATGTTCATGTAAGCAAATGTAAATGTGAATGAATTGTGTGGTTGTGATAATGAGTGTGATAATGTTTAACATGACATAATTTATAGGTATATTTGCATATATGACCATGTTTGTGTATTAATGTGCTACTGTGTATTAAAGTGAGTGGATTTTTAAAATATACATATGTGCACACTAACGTTTATATATACATGTGAAAACATGTGAGTGCTGATGATTTGTCAATGTGTCAGAATATTTATGTGTATATGTATGAACATGTTAATGTATTTGCTCTTAAGTATGAATGTATTTGTGTGTTTCAATGTGGATATAAATGACTAAGTGTGAGCATATTTGTGTTGAGTGAACATGTGATCAAGTGTGTTCATATATAGGTGTGCTTGTGAACTTGTCTGTGTGTAGAGATGTATTTGCTTGCATGTGTGAATATGTTTTCATGACAATGAACATGTGAGCATGTTGATAAGTAAGAGTAAGTTCATGTATATGTTTGATTGTGCAAACTAATGTGTGCATTTATGTGTATAAATACATTTTTGTGATTATTTCTCATGCTTGTACATGATCAAGTATTTTACTAATATATATGTGTATGTATGGCCATTTTTATGTGTGTTAATGTATGAGTTTAGGTCGTGTTTGTGCGTGTGTGTTAATGTGTGAATTTTAGTGAGTATCTTCATGTTTTTGTATGTCTATGTGAGTGAACTCATGAGCGTGTTTATGTGAGTGAGTACTGCGTGACGGTGATTTGATTAATGTGCAAGTGTTGCTGAGTGTGTAATTGTATGTTAGTGTTCAGCTCCCTAATATTTTTCCTCCTTAGGCCTGCGTCCATTTGCAAGGCTCAAATATTCTCATGGTTGTGAAAACAGTAAGCTGTTAGATGCGATGGAGAAATATAATTTACTATTCTCTCATCAGCTTCCAGCAAACTGTATTACATCACACTGCTGTTAGGGAAATATGTGTACATGTGATGCTAGCAATCCAGCCTGCTGCTTTCTCTGCAGGCTGATTGCCTAGAAGCTGAGCTGAAGAGAGGAAAATGTGTTATTTCAAATCCAGTGCTTCATAGGGAAAAGTGTTCTAGGGGGATAAGTGTGTGAATGGCAGCTGAGAAGCAAATGGGGCTCTGTTAGGGCACAGCCCAGACTCCAGCACTCAGGGCTATTGTGAAAAGCCCCAGGAAAATGTGATGTAGTGTCAGCTTCCTCCAAACATCATGTTTGATTGCTGTCTTTCAGGCTGCTCTCCCCATACTTTTTGCAGATGGCAGCTACGTTAGTAGGCAACAAGCCCCAGAAAGTCCCAGAGAAGCCTACATTCCAGCCCCTTTCTCCAAGACATGTTTGCCAACCCCTTCCTCCAAGGTCCGGCTTCTCTAGACCAAGCTAGTGCTGTCTGTTCTTATGGGAATGCTATGGAGCTAAAGGGACAGAACAGAAGCCTGCCAAAGGGCTCTTAGTTTAAAGGGAGGTAGGGACTGAAATGCAGTGTATATTCTCCTTGCCAAGCCATGATCTGGCACAGGAACACAACCAGAGGAAAGGGACATTGTTGTGATTTCTCTACCTAAGAAGGGGCTGCCTTACAAACTAGCTAAGATAGCCCGTGGCAAAAAATGCTTTATGCCTTCCTTTACTGTATAATGTTGGATGTCTGTGACATGTTCCTGTGCTTGTGAGAGAGGGAGTCAGGACCATTCTTATGTGTGAAGATTAAGCCCTAAAACTATAATATATATAACTAAAATGTAAATATAAAGGGGTCTCTGTCTATTAGGAGACTATACAGGGAGCCGGGGTTCCCTAAACCCTGAGTGCTTCAGCCTGGCAATGGGTCTTCTGCCATGTAATAGTCCCAGCCTTACAGCCTATAGTGTTTATAGCCTATTCTGTTTAAATGGCAGGTAGTCCTAAGTTATCTTTGTCTCCTCTTTCTACGGCCTCCATCTGTTTGGCAAAATCAATGTAGGGGCCCATATTTTACCGGATGCTACAGTCTGGCATGATCATAATACTTGATGTAACATGAGTGATAGTGGCAAGGGGCAACAGGCCTACTGTGGACCAACTGTGCTGGCCAATGCCCAGATATACACTCTTGCCTCTGTCCCCCTCTTTCAGTCCGGGATACTGCAGGGAGGGCAGCCTGAGCCTGAAACAGGGGGGAGTGTGTGCTCATTGCATGCAGATGACTATTGTTTGGCTTTTGCTGACAAACATTAGAATAAGAAAGAGGCAATAAATAAATAAATATCAATTTCCCTGCTGTCCTCTGAGGCTTGGCACAAATGATTCAAAGCTAGTACCATGTAAGGGGTATTAACTGTGCTTCACCACCTGAATTTCTATATTCCCCTTCCCTTGAGGATCCGCATGGAAAAGGTGCCACCACTGTAGCCTCAGTAGCATAAAGGTATTATGTGCTTCTGTTTTTGCCAATCTGGTTTCCCATGCAGCCTCACTTTGGAGCCCTTGGCTTGTGTCTTCTGCCCTTGCAGAGTGGAGGAAAGGGAAGCACCAGCTAATAGTCTCACTTCTTAAATTTAGGGCCAAGGGAAACCATTGCCTTGGTTTTCAAGGTGGCACAGTATTTTAGAAGACAGTTGCGTATGAGCACAAATGGGAATCATTAGTGGTGATTACTCATGACTGCATCCCATCCTAGAGGAAGCTGCCCTGCATTATAGCTCCTTCTGCTATCTTCGAGCTGAAAATTAACTAACCCCAATTTAAAGCACTTTTCCTTTTGTCTGTCCTTGGTTTGGGCTTCTTAGGTGTCTCCTTCGTCCCCGAATGATACTCCTATTGTGTAGGTTCTGGGTGTGGTCGGGGATAAGCAGAATCTGGCTTCTTGGAGACATATGTACCAGCTTCCTTGTCACTCACCTCTGTGTTGTTGGAACTTTATTGTTAGTGGCCATCAGTCTGAGTTTTATGAAGAACACATGTAGTACAGTATACTAGCTGGCCTGAGTTTGGTAGGAGCTGAAGAATTGGGAAAGCAGGGTATTATGGAAGGGTCCCAGGCCTAGGTGGGTTAGGGACAGAGGCAGAGAAAACCATGGCCTCAATTCTGAATTCTCTGAATTACTTAAGGGTGGCAACACCTTAGGCAAGGAGTAAGAAGGGAAAGAAAGTCTCTGGCATAGAAAGGCTGGTCCATAGATGTAAGGTACATTCCAGAAGGCCTGAGGTTGGGAGTCTCTGGGTGCTCCCTTGCAGGGCTTGGCAGACTCAAGAAGGTAGGATCTGGGGGGCAGAGGTATAGAGCCTGCTTAGCTTACAGGGTGGAACTGACCCTATTGTATCTAACACAAAAGCCTCTGGTGTCTGGATTTGCTTACCTCCAAAATTTGGTCTCAGTCGGACATCATATGTTGACAGCACCCTGTCCAAAATCTTATGAACCACAGCTTCATTTGCACAATTTTTGCTGAAACAGAGAAGCCTTGAGTAAATTCTGGTTGGCTAGTGGCCCACTTGCCAGTGGCTGACTCCCCAGGAGCCAGCCGTGCTCCTGTACATATGCAAACATGTCCAGTCATATGTGTCTGTGCTCTCCCCTCCCTTCTTCCCCTTCCACAGTGAGTCAGCCAGAAGCGCAGCAGTGACGCAGATTCTTTCCCTTCCCCTCCCCCTTCACAGCTTTAATCCAGAGGCTGGGGCCCAAGGCCTGGATCTCTGTTACCACGCAGAAGGTGTGGGTGGGAGAAAATGGCACCGTAGGGGAGGAGGGAAAGTGGGCACATGAGACCCTCAGAAAACTGCACCATTTTAGTTCTCTGAGAAACTATACCTTGAAGTGCCCCCTGGATGCTGACAATCCTCTTTCCAGGGCTACCTCATAGCCCCAGGAAGTCAGTTCCCATTGGCAAGTCCCCCCCACCCCCAGCTGAGCTCATGTTTTCTACTCTACCTGGTCTGAGCGATCCCCGCCCCCCATTTATGTCATTCTTGTGCCTGAGAACTGGCATATGACATATGACACAGAGAGGTGGGGGTAGGGAGAGAGAAAGTGTCTTGCTCATGTAGCATAGATTTATGACCCTCATGGAACTAAGCCATTTCGGATTCCTGGGGTTTAGAGCTGCCTTCGAAAAGATCCATCCTGGGAGCAGGCATCTTACTCACTACGCATGTGCTTTCAGCCTAGATGTTTCTTAGGTGAGCACATGGAAGTGAAAGCGGCTCAGCTGCATAAAGCTGGCCTTTCCACAGGTCTCTGAGATGCTCATTGAATCCATCCAGACTTTCAATCCCCAAAGGGCTTTGAAATGACGACAGGCCCCAGGCGTCACTATCACTATGACTGTTTGGATCTTTGACGCATTGTCCCTGCAATGTCTGTCTCTCTGGTGTGTGTGTGTGTGTGTCCCTCCATCTCTCCTTCACTTCCCCCCACCCCCATATGTGTTCAATGACGCAGTTGGGTTGAGAGCACTGCAGGGCTGCCTGCTGGAACCTTGCCCAGCTTAACCACTCCCCCTTTATGAATCCATGTTTATTTCTATTTTGCCACTTAAATTATTTCCTCATTTCCCTCAATCATAAAATTTAATTTTGTAACATTTCAAAGTATGCACATGAATTATTTACAAATTAAAGAAATACATTCCCGCCTGTTTCTGTCCACAGAATTTCCCATGTGTTAGCACTCCAGATCTGTAGCCACAGCAAATACACGTTTTTGTGTGTGTGTGTGAGTGTGTGTGTGAGAGAGAGATCTACATGTCAAGGATGACGGTTTATCCCCTCTTCAGATACTTGCAGACCTAAACAAACTTTAAATCAAACACAGAGAAAAACTGAAATCTTCAAATGTTTTCATAGGAGTAAGCACAAAAGCTTACCCCTCTTAAGCTGGAAGGTTATGCCATTTACAGCTACTAATTTCACAGAATTAATCGTTTCAATCTGCCGTTTTTGAGAGAGAGAGAGAGAGAGAGAGAGAGACTGCCTCAGCAAATGGACTAAAAATCTTTACTCAAACAGGTGTCTTTCTTGTCTGTTTTGTGAATTACCCATGTACAACCCCCACTCCCATGGGCTGCAAAGAATATAGCTGGGAAAAGCTGCCTGGGACCTCAGTCCTTGAGGATGATCAGGTAGACTCTGGGGTGAGGGTGCTCCTGGCCTCACGGCTTGGGAAGGTGCAGCAGTAACAGGTGGGTTGAAGCCATGAGTATTATTTCACGGCTGTCCCCATACCTGCTTCATCCCCCTAGGCAAGTCCGATCTGAGTTCCCTGCACCCAGCTCGCTCTGTCCAAGAGACCGAAACCTGCTTGTCCCTGTCCCTTCCTTGTTCAGCTAGGATGGGCCGCTTACCAGTTGAAGAGATCCAGGATGACTTCGGGCATGCTGGAGGATGGCTCGAAGTGGAATTTCGGGGTAGGACTGGGGTCGTTGCTGTCTGCGAGCCAAGTCCTGATGAGCAGCAGGAGCACGGCAGCTCGCAGCAAGCCTCGGATGCCCATGGCTGCGGTGCTCTGGGAACCGCAGCGGACAGCTGGAAAAGCGGACAGGGTTAGGGTGGGAATGAGTCAGTAAAGGGCAAAGGGGGCGGGATCGCTAGCCCTTTCGCAGATGCGATCCTAAGGAGAGACCTGAAGGGAGCAGGGAGTGCGGGGTCTGGAGCCCAGAGCAGGAAAGAACAGCCTCTCAGCAGCAGCTCTCCCCGACGCAGCGGTCCACAGGGTGCGTCCGGCTGCTGCGAGGTGCGCTCCGTCTGCTACCGCTCAGGGCTGAGACTGGGTGCCGAGTGGGGCGGGCGCGCTGCTGGCTCCGCCCACTCCGACGGCAGCACCAGCGGAGCCAATCTCGCGGGTGCCAGGAGCCACACAAAAACACACGCGTTCGCCCCCCTTCCTGCCCCTTCAAGCCTCTGCAGTCGTCCCCGGACCAGCACCAGCCACCAGGTTCAACCATGTGAGAAGGAGGGGCTTACTGCGTAGACTGGACTCAGGGGCTTCTGGCTCTAGGCCTCTTTGCAGAAGGGAAATATGTTTCTCTTAGAAGATTTTGTATCCAAGAGTAAGTATCTTGCAGCAAAAGAAGTGCGGCCATTAACTGTCACGGCTAGATATGCACTCTGAAACACTTGCACCTCTGGGGAATCAGGAGGTTGTTCACAGATCATTGACACTCCAGTAACTCAATGTGCTTAACCCAATGTGTTTGGTCTTTGACTGGGTTGATGGAATCTCTTACCAAGGGGTCTTAGGACAGAACTTTGACCACAGAGGATGGAAATTGTTTTCTTGGAGCCTAATTTCCCAGAGAGTTATTCTTTTCGATTTTGGGTTCTCAGGGAAAACAAATTCAGGGAGCTGAAAGTATTCACCAACTGGAGGCTTCCTAAGGTGTGATTCATTGACATAGACAGGAAATGCAGAGTTGAAGTTAGATCCAGGCTGACACTATTAAAGGGGAAAAAAGGCAAAAGTCAGTGTTTTAGATGTGCACCAGAAGGTACCAATGCACCTGAGTTCAAAACGCCATCACATAGAAGAGTCTGGGATTTTGTTAGGGGGTATTTATTGTTTCCCCTACCTGGACTGGAAGGGTCTCAGAGGCTATGGAATGGCTTCGCACTATCCGCTGTACCTCAGCTTGGAGCCATGACAGAGCTAGTTCAAAAAGAGGCATCACAAGAGCCCCATGCCAAGTGATAACACAAGGGGCACAGTCATGTTCACTAGAACTGCACCTCCAAAGTCACACCCGTAGAAACACACCCTTTCTGCTCTCCTTCAGTACCCGGTGCCAGTTTTAGATTGCTTGAGCCCAGGAAAGCTTTCCTCTCATGGTTTGCTCAATGTCTTGTACACTAGCAAATTTAACTCTTTACTCTTTCTTTTTTTTTAAAGATATTTCGTATTTTTTTTAAGATTTATTTATTTATTATGTATACAGTATTCTCAGTACTCTGCTTGCAAGCTAGAAGAGGGCACTGATCTCATTACAGATGGTTGTGAGCCACCATGTGGTTGCCGGGAATTGAACTCAGGACCTTCGGAAGAGCAGGCGGTGCTCTTAACCACTGAGCCATCTCTCCAGCCCACTCTTTACTCTTTCTTCTTTCTCCACTGTTTCAGGAAATGGACATGAAAGAAAAAAGGAATGATGAAGATTCACATGCCACTGATCACATATTCGAACGACTCAGCCCTACCTGTTCTCCTATTGTGAGTCTGTCACGTCATTCCTGATCATCCAGACTTCCTTTCAGAGATTCTGTTTCTCACCGAAAAGGTGGGGCTAATCTATATCTTTTTGGCTAACTAACTGGATGGTAATATGGGAAAACTGAGGTCCAAAACAAGAAGAGAAATTGACCCATTGTCACATAGTAGCAGAGACTCAAGCTAGAAAGCCTCAGCGTAGGTTTGCGTGCTTGAGGAACAGCTTGCATTCTGTGCTCACTGGAAATTCAGACAATTGCCAGCAGGTGGGAGTAGATCTATTTGGGAGGTTGTTTCAACACAGAGTCAGTTTCTGCAGGCAGTTAATTGGGCTGGCCTCATTTGTTATGGAGACTTTTAGAATTGAAATTTTGTTCTTAGTTATCTCTGTGACGATGGATGTTGCCAAAAAGTTGATGTCAATTACTTATTTCTGGACTTTAAACTCCTAATGAACCTACTTCTGCTTTCCTTAGAGGTAATGTTTCTTTGAAATTTCTGAGTCATAAGGCCAACTAATGCTTCAAATGTAGCTGGAATTATATACAGATTATCATAATGTGTAGTGGATGAAATATTGTCTCAATGTGTTAGTATATCCATAAACTTTGCTCAGTGTTCTGACTGGAAATTCAGACAACTGCCAGCAAGTGGGAATAGATTTGTTTGGGAGATTGTTCCAATTTATTAGTCTGGCCTCTGAGTGAGCCTGGAGAGATGGCTCAGTGGGTAAGGAGACTTGCCACCATACCTGATGACCTAAATTGGATCCTTGAAATTTACAAGGTAAGGCAGAAAAAGAGCCCTAACTCCCACAAACTGTCTTCTGGCCTTCGCTTATACACCGTCTCGTGCACCCACCATATACACATACTAAAATAAAGTGAATGTATAAAATACTTTTGAAAAATCCAGGTTGGATGTGGGATCATGGCCCAGGGGAGCAGTGCTATCTTGGACGTTCTCCTAGCTGCATCCACACCACAGTGAAGGGTAGAGTTTGGTAGTAAGACAAGAACTGATGAACTCTGGCTGGAGATATGGCTCAGTGGTTGGAAGCGCTTATCTGTCTTGCAGAGGACTCAAGTTCGATTCCTAGTAGCCAGAGGCTTAGAACTGTCTGTAACTTCATGTCTATAGAGTGCAAGAACTGTGGTTTACTATATTCTAAAAGGAGCCTGGAAACATCTGCAGGGAACACAAAATCACCAAAAGTGTTCTAGAAAATTGGAAAAAGAACTGAAGAGAAGGCTTACAACTCAGACCACTAACAATAAAACTTGAGAATTAAATGGCTGGCCTAAACAGAAGGCCAAATGCAACTGAAAAAATAATTATTAAATCAGAAGACATGCTACAAATAATAGTTCAAAGTTCTGCCTGGAGAAACAAATTCCATGGGAACTCTGAAAATGAGCACGAGAGATGAGGTGGGTAGAGTGAGAAGGGCCACCACACTTTCAGATAAAACAGATAGAATAGCAAGAAGGGAGAGAAAAGTGGAGAAGAAAATTCAAATTCATAGGCTCAAAGAGCTCAACTAATTCCAGGCAGGCAGGACATAGGAAATCTGCTTACACACACATCATATCATATATGCTGAAAACCAGAAGCAAGGGAATCAAATTAGAGTAGTCTCCTGAGAAACAGAAAAATCCTGACCTAGGGCTCAAGAGTGGGAGTGGGACCCCATACTTTTGAAGGAGTTTACTTAATTAGTTCATGGATGATTATTTTTAAATATGTTCATTTCAGTATTAAATTAATTCAATGTATGTGTTTTTTTTTGAGAGGGAGGACGGAGGGAGGGAGGGAGAGAGAGAGAGAGAGAGAGAGAGAGAGAGAGAGAGAGAGAGAGAGAGAGAGAGAGAAAGAGAGAGTTTCTCTGTGTAGCTTTGAAGCTTGTCCTGGAACTTGCTCTGTAGACCAGGTTGGCCTGGAACTCACAGAGATCCGCCTGCCTCTGCCTCCCGAGTGCTGGGATTAAAAAGGTGTGCACCACCACTGGCCAGCTTCAGTGTATGTGTTGAAGACCGTGCTTTCTAAAACAACCTAATAACCTGGAAGCCCTTTCCAATTGTCATAAGGAAGGCTATTGTCCTACAAATGTGTGACTTTCTTTTCATTGGCCACAAAAGAGAATATTGGTTATGGGTGTGAAATATTACTTGTAGCGCAGCTCTAAGTCTGGAAAAAATGTAGTTTCCCTTTTTAAAGTGAAAGAATGACAAAATGAATTATTTTAAAAAGCCAAAATAAAATGAACTTTTTTCCTTTTCCTTTTTTTAAATTGGTGTACTTAATTGTACATGGTTTTGGGTGTCATGCAAGCACATTCATACAGGTATTTAAATGTATTTTGACCAAGTGCCCTCTTCTTCTCTGCCCTTTTTTCTCTTCTCCCCCTCCATTTGCTTCTCTTAGTCTCCTTTTCTTTACTACTCCCTCAACATTTGCTCTGTTTCTGTTAAATGAGCAGCTCTATCAGTGGAAGTGTCTTCTGCCCTCACTCACTTGCTACCTAACGTTGCTGAACTGGGATGAAGTTTCTGCACACACAACTAAACAGGCAATAGGCTAGCTTTTGGGAGAATGAGCCCCTTTCTCATCACTAGATTTGCTAATACAGGTTGACTGGAAAAAAAATGCCCTCTCAGTGATGGATAGAAGGTAAAATTCTCTTTGATATGGAAATTCTCACCTGAATGTCTGTTTGGCTAAAAAATAGTTCATGTATTGCTTTGGTTTGACAGATGCTCTCATATACTTCCACAAAAACCCTCTCTGCAAGAGTTGGATATTGTAACATCAGGCAATCAGAATGCTGTCTGAATATGTTAACTTATCTTCATTGTAGCAAGTAGGAAGTGGTCAACATTTTCCACCAAGTTTTACAAAGGAAGAGAGTTTGAATTTCTGTTTTTGAGTGTCCACATTTCATCTTCATTTTTCTGGGCCTTGATTGTTTATGTCCTTCTTTAGCATATCCTAATGGTACCTCCTTTTCTAACAGTGAAGTGAAGGAGTATAGAGGATGGTCTGGGTTTTCTCTGGGGAACAGGCTATATATAATATGTGCACTAAAAGTGCATTTCACCACAAATCTGGAGGTACAGATTAGAAATCTGGAACTAATTCAAAGATGTGGGTCTCAGCCTCTCACCTGAAGTATGAAGATGTAATCTACTCATCAATGGGACAACCCAGACAGAAGGGACTCCCTGTGATAACTTTTAGCTCCGGAGAACGTCTTTTATGCTTTCACCTAAACAGTTAAGGTGACTACCGCATCTAACCACCAGAGGGCATGAGTGCTCCTGGTTTGACAGTAGAGTGAGCCTTTCTGTTTATCTAATTGTTTTTCTAAATCCAAAACCAGGCTGATATTTAGGAAAAGAACATCCTCAAAAGCTCAGCGAAACAGATGGAGATAAACACAGGGATAAAACATCCTTTTTAGGGAGTGAACATTAACCAGTGAATGGACAGGCTTCTATTTCTTTCTTTTGTGCTGTGTACTGTTAAGGTTGGGTCTATTTTATTTTATTTTCTATTCGT